AGAAACAAGAAAGAAGATGTTTTTAATAAAGAAATCGCCCATGAGGAAGCTAAGAAAGTTAGCGAAACGTCGGGCTGTAATGTGAAGAAAGCTTTTTCTTGCACTCAACCATATTAGGTCAATTAGCCTAGAATCCAAAAGTTTAAATTAATTTTCGTTTGGTTTAATTTAATTTGTGTTTGTGTTAAATTGATTTGGCTTTAGGTTAAATTGATTTGCGATTGCTTTAAATAAATGTGCGAATGCTATATTTACAGTTCCACTACAGTTAAGTCAAAGAATATTATTGGAAAGGCAATATTTTTCTTAAAAAATATAGTAAAACAATATAAATATTTTTAGTAAAATTCTATAAGAATAACTTTAAATATGTTTTCTTTAATTAGTAGAAATTTTTATGAATCCATCTGTTAAACAGAAGTTTTTACTTATACGCACATATTTACATACAGCACGAGTCATAATTATAAGCGCCGAACATATTGACAAGTATTAACAATTTATTTTTTGTTATTTTTTATTAGTTATCTTTTATAAAAATGTAGTTTATTCTTTAATAAAAACCGAGTAAATTCAAGTTTCAAACTTTGAGGGTTCTTTAAAAAATCAACAAAAATGGGTAAAAATTTCGAGCTTTTTAATTACACTATGCGACAGTCAAAATCGGGATGGGATGAAACCAACGGGAAATGTTATATCGGTCAAAAACAAGTTATACGTGGCCCGGTGTTTAGCTGGGTCACGTCTAGGAATCGAGATATATCGATTTGAAGTTAGTAATTATCATATAGGGGAAATTTTCACCTTTGGTGGTCTTTTTTTTGACATAACTTGAGAACCACTAGTCCGATTTTGCTCAAACAAATTTAAAAAAATTAAAAATTACAATTCCTTTAATCTGTTAATATAACGTTTTTCTATATACTCAACAGTTTTGCCGGTAAAAATAAATGTATGAAGAAAAAAAATATTATTTTTGCGTAAAAATTAAATTTTTTTAAAAATTAATTTTAATTAATTTTTTAATTTTTGGATTTTTTATGAATTTAAAAAATTAAAAAATTTAATATTTTAGGCAAAAAATATTTTTTTTCCTCATACATTTATTTTTACCGGCAAAACTGTTGATTTTTTTTTTTGAGCAAAATCGGACTAGTGGTTCTCGAGTTATGTCAAAAAAAAGACCACCAAAGGTGACAATTTCCCCTATATGATAGTTACTAACTTCAAATCGATATATCTCGATTCCTAGACGTGACCCAGCGAAACGCCGGGACACGAATAACTTCTTTTTTACCGATATAACTTTCCCCGGTAGTTTGAAGCCTTCCCGATCACTGACCCCTACCATTTGTCTCACAGTGTTATATTTCAAACAATAAATGGCCAAAAATCGAGGTACGTCCTAGCTTCTGCAAACTTGCATTTTATTATACTAAAATTGAATGGGCTACAAAACTGTATACCCTAAGAAATATAGTTAAACAGCTCCACATTTTCACGATAGTTTCTTGAATTTTTTAAGTATTGCACAAAATTTGAATCTTGGATTTATTCGGTTTTTGTTAAAGAATAAACTATATTTTTATAAAAAAAAATAACTGAAATGAAAAAAAAACAAAAAAGCAAAACAAAACTCTTAAAAATTGTCAACATGTTGTGGCGCTTATAATTATGTCATGGTTGTACATTATGTACCATTTAATTCCGTTAGGGATTATTCCTTTCAGAGTGGTAATTTTACAAGAATCTGTTCACAATAGGTGTATTATTTAATGTTCAGTAATGTTTATCCTTTATAGTATGTGTGTACAATGGTGGACACTACTTCTTTACAAGTTTTGGCCATTTATTTTTTCTTTATTTATTTTTTTTTTACAAAAAATATAGTTTATACTACAGCGAAACTTTCAAATCCTTTACAAGATTTATAAAAATCTCCTAATTTTGCAAAATGGTCATCAAAGTAGATTCAAAAATGCACCAAGTATCTTATTTCTAAATTATAATTTATGGAAATGCCTTATTAACGCAACGAAGTTGCAATGCGGCATTTAACCGTGGTTGCGCATATTAGACATTTCTATAAGTCATAGTTTAGAAATGAAAGAGACTGGCTTTTTAATCATTTAATAAGTTTTTGAAACTTGCAACAACATAACACTAAAATTTAATGGGCTTTAAAACTGCATACCTGGGTTTATAAAAATTTTAATTAAAAAGTTTGATTAAAATTTTTTGGACTTTGGCGGGATTATATAAATCTTGTACAAGAGCTGAAACTTTAAGTTACATGGTTTTCGTTGTAGTATTATCTATGTTTTATATGTATACATTAATTATGTGCAGTGGCGGTCAATAGTGGATGAATGGTGTTTCGTTCATGCTTTAACAAAAAACCATCTAAATCACACTTTCAAACTTTATACAGAATCGCAAAACTGGCTATGTTTTTTTCGCAGCGGTCTTGCGCATATTTTGCACAAGAAATCCATATATATATGGAAATATTGCAAAACGCCGTGAACAAAAAAAAAAAAATAAGAATCATTTTACTAAGCTTTTATAAGCCTATTAACTGCATACCGAAAAAATTCATAAAAATTCCTGGTAAAAAGCTCGAAA